TGCAGTGTTCTTTGGATCTAATCTTATCTCCTGGAGTGCTAGAAAGCAAGCTACTGTGTCACGCTCAAGTACAGAAGCTGAATACAAGTCTTTGGCTAATGCAACTGCTGAGATCATTTGGGTTGAATCACTTCTTGAGGAATTGGGAATCAAGAAGAATCGTATCTCATGTTTATGGTGTGATAATTTGGGAGCAACATATCTGTCTGCAAATCCAGTGTTCCATGCCAGGACAAAGCACATAGAAATTGATTTTCACTTTGTACGAGAAAGGGTTGCGGCAAGGAAACTTGAGATTCGATTTATTCCTTCTAAGGATCAAGTGGCTGACGGTTTTACAAAAGCACTACCAGCAAGACCATTTGAAGAATTCAAGAGTAATCTTAACTTAGGTTAGTTGAGATTAAGGGAGGGTGTTAGAATATAGAGTTGTAATCTCAACCTCCTTCCTTCTCTTGTATTCTACCCAAACTCTTTCTGTCATAACCTTGTACGTCAAGCCAGGCTTCGGCCACGCATCAATATAAACTACCACGCGGCTCCCTCGATGGAGTAGGAACGCTTCATATCTTTCAGTATCATGCATGCCAACTAGATAATTTTGATGAGGTGTCATAGAATTAAATGAAGAAAAAAAGCATTGAGTATCATATCATGATACTGTATCATAATAAATGCTATGCTAAATGTATCCTGCATGGCAATAAATAAAGTACTATATGATACTAATATATGATACTATACATTACGAGGTAGTATCATACACTAGTATCATATGCATGATATAATATATGATACTCCCCATTACAATTAGCCTTAGAGTAGTAACATGCATCTTATTAGTTTATGTTACTACCTCTATAATGATAAGTAATATATGTGTGGTTCGCCAGGGTGACCCGTTCTCCCCCTTTCTGTTCAACATGGTTGTCGATGCCTTCGCGGTCATCCTTGATAAGGCCAAAGCTTGTGGCCATATCCACGGCGTAGTCCCCTACCTAGTGGGAGGAGGAGGGGTCTCCCTCCTCCAATATGCAGACGGTACCATAGTAATGGTGGAGGGATCCGCGTCTGACATTGCCAACTTGAAGTTCCTCCTCCCGTGCTTCCAAAATATGTCTGGGCTCATCATCAACTTCGATAAGAGCGAAGTGATGGTCCTTAGCTATCCTCCGGAGGAGGCTCAGTCCATTGCTGATCGGCTGAACTGTCGCATGGGTTCCTTCCCCACGACTTACTTGGGGATACCCATTAGTGACTCCCGGCTCACCGTTGCTGACCTCCGCCCGACTGTGACTAGGATGCAGCACCGGGTTGAACCCTGGAGGGGGAGGTGGCTGTCGAAAGCAGCCAGGGTTATCCTCATCAACTCCTCGCTTGCTAGCCTACTTTGGTTCCTCATGAGCTTCTATGGCCTCCATAAGACCCTCCATCAGGAGGTTGCCAAATACCAGTCTAGGTTTTTTTGGGCTGGCGACGGGGACAAGCAGAAATATCATATGGTGAGCTAGCTAGACATCTGCAAACCCAAAGACCAGGGTGGCCTTGGGATCTTGTCCTATCGACGCACGAACATTGCTCTCCTAACCCGCTGGCTTTGGCGTATCGCCAATGGGGAGGGAGGCCTCTGGCTCACCATCATCCGTAATAAGTACCTAAGGGGCCAACCCCTTGCCTTCTGCCAGCGCTCGGGTGGTTCCCAGTTCTAGCAGTCGATGATCCAACTTCTGCCCGTCCTCCGCATTGGCACGTCCATCTCGGTTGGCTCCGAGTCCTCGGCCCTATTCTGGTTCGACCGGTGGTTATGGGACTCCCCCCTTGCGGCGCGATTCCCCGATCTATTCGCCATTGCATTTGACCCTCGGTTCTCTGTCGAGACGGCCCTTATTGACTTAGGGAGTCTCGCTTTCCGGCGCCCCTTCGGTCCCCTTGAGGTGGCTGCTTGGGACTCCCTCCTCCAGGACATCGCCCTTATGCCGATGGACGTCGAGGAGACCCTGGATTCCCTCTCCTGGCGCCTTGAGCCGTCTGGCCGCTTCTCCACGAAGTCCCTGTACGCCGCCATTGCTCCCTCGGCGGCCCCGGAGCCTTTTAGCCTGATCTGGGACATCCGCCTGCCTCTGAAGATCTGATTTTCCTGTGGCAATGGATCCGTGGACGCCTCCCCTCTGGGGTTGAAGTCCTCAAGCGTAACGGACCGGGTGATGGGCTGTGCCCCATTTGTGGCACGATTGAAGATGCTAACCACATCTTCTTCTCGTGCTCCACTGCCCAGTTCCTTCAGGCTTGCTTCCGCAAGACCGTCGGTGGACAGTGGTGCAACACAAACTTCCCCGACTTACTTGCGGAGCTGAACGCTTCCCCCCCCCCTCGCTACTGCCATATTAGATGGCTGTGTGTTGGGGTCCTCTCCTGGACGCTATGGACCATCCGCAATAAGCTTGTTATTCAGAAAGTGCCTCTCCGACGTGCGATTGACGCGATCTTTAAAATGTGTGGCTACTTGCAACTTTGGCGGCCGCTTAGCCGCCCCCAGGACCGGGACGTCATCACCACCCTCCTCGCCGACCTTCGCTCTATGGCTCTCCGCGTGGCGCCCCTGCTACCGCCTCCTCCCCCAGAACCTGACAAGTTGCTCGGGTTGCTTTGTGGAGTGTGTGTTTTGTTTCTAGGGCTTGTTGAGCTGTGCCCTCAGCATTTACCCTTATGACTTATTTGTACTCTTGTGGACCTCCGTGTGCGTGTGTGTGTGAACTTGTTGAACCATGTTGGATGCTTGGGCGGTTTGCTTTATAATATAAAGCGGGGCGAAAGCCTTTTTCGGTAATTGAAATATTTGCAACATACTCGAATAGTCGAACATCTTCCACGATCGGGTGTCTTGCCTAATGTTCAAATTGGTAGCTATTCAGTTTTGGGGCTGGCAATCTATTTGCTGAATATGCTTTGTGCTTCCACGTTCTGTTGCTGGAAAGTTTCGAACAACGAATAAAAGAAACCGTAGTTTATCCAACACCATTCTTGATAGACTTGCAATATCAGGGGATACTGATGCGGATGGTGGTCAGGCACACTAAATATAATCCAACAGAAAATAGTGTCAAGAAAAAGCGGAAGTATATGCAAGACAGTTAAGTCTTACTTCTCGTGTTTCTTAGAAGTGACAGGTCATTTTGTCAAAGTATACTTATACTTCACCCTAGTTCAACGTTTATAAACAAATCCATCTTATGCTGGCATTTGTCTGTTTCCTAAATAATTTACACTTTTCTAGAGGTTGGTTCTGGTGCAACTATTATCAAGCATGTGTGTGCTAGTGGCATTAAGAGGTTGCTCAAAGTCATAAAGAAAAGGTAAATGCGCAGAGGAGGTACCAAGTAGCATTGGGCATTGATTGCTATGATCTTTCTTAGTTCTTACCACTAGAATACAAGTGATGTATTGCAAAACCCAGAGCTAATCTTGAGCAAGACCATTGAAGCTGCTGCTGGTGTAGATTTTATGAAGCTTCTTGTTCTTGTAGCATACCTTTCACCTTCTTTGCCCACGACAAAACAAGTCGAGACTTGTTCCCAGAATTAGCAGGCAATGTTTTTGCAAGGGATGTATTTAACCAAGTTTTATACTCCCTCCGTTCCAAAAAAATAGAAATCTAGAACTTAAAAAAATCAGTACTTTTAAAAATATTCACATTTATGAAACATTTCACAATTAGTTTAAAAAGTTGTTGCTTTAAAAAATGTTCGCTATTCCAAAAATAGTTAAAATCTCAAAAAATGCTCATGTTTTTAATAAATGTTCAAATAAATGAATTATTGGAATTCAAAAAATGTTCAATTTATTTTATTAAATACTCAAAAAAATTTAAATAGTACCTGTAATGTTTGCGAGTATGAATGAAATTGCGGGCGTTTCTGAAGAAGAAAGAAGGAGCTGTCACTATTTTTGGTAGGTTCTCTCTTCTCGGGTTGGTGACTGTTAAGGCCGTTTAGGGTATTTTTTTAGGCAATTCAGGCCGTTTAGGTAGTTAGATTAGACTCGGCCAGCAAGGCAAGCCCATGAGTTCTCACCTTTGTGGAGTCCGGGTGCAGGAGGGAAAAAAATTCTGATCTGAAAAAGGCTTTTCTGTGTCTTTTTAGCGGGGTTTGTTCTCCGGATCTGAACTTGACGCGAGTTTCAGCATGCCGCGCCTTTCCCCGCAGGTTCACATCGAGCGCCCCCCTGGATCAAGACCATGCCGGGAGTAAGCCCCTAAGCTTTGTTCTGCCCTTGTGGGTGGTCACCATCCGTCGGGTCGGGTGCAGCACGCCTAGCTACATCCATCAGGTGGGCCGAACGAGCGTGCAAACAGTAGCTGCACTTGATACAGACACTGAGACACAGCACAGAGCTGGCATGCACGGCCAAGGGTTCTTATTGAGCAATGTTTTCTAGCACCTTTACAGAAAAGGAGCAGCTCATTTTTCAGGCATAACCATAATCCCCGGATAATTTTGTCCTGGCCTCAACGCAAGTTGCAATATCGGGAAGAAACAGTTGCAACATCGCAAATCAGGTAATGGTTTATTTTAGTGAGGGGACAAATTAGGTAACGGCTGGTTTATCTGACCGTGTCGTTTTGGCAAATGATCGGATCAGATTACTTGTTTATTCCTCCGCCCATTTCTCAAATGGAATGGCCTACTCTACTGATAATCATACAAACTTAACCCACGTCCACGTCCCTCACACCGGCCCTTGCCTTTTCCTAATCCCCCTCTACGCTTTGCACCAAATTTCCTGCAAAGGTGCTAACCCCTCCCTTGGTGCAGTTCAAGAGCCATAGGAACATCACAGGCGATGAGCCAGGCCAGTTAGTTTCTTGCCCTTGGCCGGCCTACTTTCTGCTCCTTTTCCCTAGCTAGTGATATGATATTCCCCTTTCCCAATATCTTAACGACGATGATGGAACAATGCTGCAGCCTCCTCGCGTTTTTTGTTGGCGGAATTTGTGCGATGCTTCAGAGGCCGGAGAACTGGTTTTGCTGAGGCTGCTGGTGAACGGACTGGAACTCTGTTGCTGTAGAGCTGACATTCTCTGGCATCATGAAGTTCCTGCAATTGAGAGAGTGTACGCCGAGGGTGAGATGTGATTCTGAGTATTATGCTGTTGCTGAGCGAGATCGTCGTGTTTGTCTTACTCGCGAGGGCGTGAAGCCCAGATGGAGCTGAGGGCGCCGAGGCGGCGGTGGTACTCTCCGAGGGAGACGAAGCACCGGGCCGTCTGCCTGGTGGTGAGGATCCGCCGCATGTGATGCAGGGTCTGCTGTCTCAGATTGTCGGCCTTCACTTGCAATGCCATGTTGAGATATTAGGCCAGTGAAACGGGTTAACTGGCAACCGGGCTTACGGGAAATCTAACGTTTCTTGCACTATCTACATGATAATACACTTCAGAATGCAATGATTGGTGGCGGCAGCATCAGATGACAATGAAAGATGATGCAAAGCCAATGTTCCTGCTTGAGACATGGGCTAGTTGGAAGCTTCCTGCCGGTTGCATATTCTACAACTCTAGGGTGTGTGATGCCATTTCTCTCCGTGATCTACAATCTATGCTATGTAGTAGGATCTTAACGCAGATTATAATAAGAATATATGAAGGTAGTTTCGTGTTTCTTTTTAAAGCCTTTGGATGTCTAAACTGCTCCAAATATCTACTCCACCAAAGTAAAGTTTATCCACAAACCCCGGCCTAGATATCTCAAGTGGAGCAATTGGATGTCTCGATCTCCTTTTATTCAGATACGGGGGGAGAAGAGAACCTACAGAAAGACAACGCCACTTATTTTTCTACTATCTCGTGGAGCAGCATGATCCTACTTTAATTCAAGGCTCCTCTGCTTCATCTCTAAGTGCTCAAGTTTAGGTTGTTGTGTCTCTTTCTCTATTACAACTCATGGACTGAACCCTTGCGATTTTACAAGTGCAACAAACATATATGGCATGCATGATCCAAACTGTTCTACAACCAGCAAAGATAGGTCGGGCCGGAGTGGATGCACAGACGTGGCCAGAAATGGGAGTAGGACACATGGAATAATTTATACAAGACAAGAAGGTGAACGTCATATTCTGATATTCCTACTTGGGCTTTATGAAGAAAGTGATAGGTGTTTATGTCTCTTAAGACATTCGGTTTATATGTAATAATAAATAAAGAACCTTGTCCAAGACTCAACCAATTGCTCAAAATATTGGTCCACAAACATCAGTCAATATACTAGTTTATAAGAGACTAATTATGCAATCTGAAAAGTGCTAATGATGTTTATCTGCATGATCTAGCCAGTTGCTCAAACAAAGTTGACCATGGTGCACAACCACATCTTATATATCATTAGTATTCCCTCCGTTCCAAAATAGATGACTCAACTTTGTATTAACTTTAGTACAAAGTTGAGTCATCTATTCTGGAACAGAGGGAGTACCTTCTATTTATCCGAAAAGTTAGACAACATTCTGTAGGACCAGAATTTCAACAATAATAAATTAAGTGATTCAGCTTAATGGTAAATATACTTCCCATATTCAGTTTTCAGTTCCAACTATTTTAGTTTGCTCTGTTGAATTATTGTTCAGAAAATCAAAGGAATGTATTTCTCTTTGTAAGTTCAGCAAATGGTTAATCATGCAAGAACATGGGATTTTAACGGCAGAGTGCATGAACTGCAACGAAGAGAAAAATACTGACCTGACGATAAAAGCTCTCAAGGTTGTTGAGCCTGTCAAGAGCTAGAGCCATGAGACCGGTATAGTTGGCAACATCTGCACCGTCATTGAGAGGGCCAGCGCCCACCGCGTCGGCCAGTGACTGGTGCAGCTGCTTTAGCCCCTGCTCGAGCGCCTCCTCGGCCTGCTCTGATGACTGCTGCAGGTTGCACATCCCCAGCAGCTGCTGCTTCGTCGACGGATCAAGCTGAGGTATCAGCATCTGATGAAAAGAAAAGGCAAGACTCAGCATGTAACATTGCCTTAATCATCAAACAAAGGTCAGATAAATTAAAAGCACTACTGTGCATTCTTGTAACAACTTCGCGCTAGACCTTGAGGATTTCAGAAGGCCGGAAGCCGGCCATCCAGAGGAAGCACCGCTCGGACTGCGTCGCCCACATGCCGGTCATGAGGTGGAAGACGTCGGACCTGGCGAGCACGGCCCTCAGGTGGAACAGCTCGTCGTGGTGCCGCATGCAGTCTTCGACAATGGTGCCGAGGTTCGCGTCGAGGACCTGGGCCTGCAGAGCGCCCTGAATCTCCGCCATGTACTTGTTGTCTTCGTCTAACCATCGGGCGTACTCCATGTCGAACATCACAGCGGCTGTAATAGCAAATCAAGAAGTTGTTGAACCTGACGTGATAACGTTGTAAAGCTTGTAAATTGTAATGCTGCAAGGGATGAGATGCTTACCGGAACTCATCTCTCCGGGCGCGCTACATCCTCCCGTGAGCAGACCCTGAAACGATATATTAAAAGCGTTACAGCATATGGCAACGATAGTGGTGAATACTGTTAGCGGTTCTAGAGAAATGGAACCTGTGAGCGCCCTCTCTGAATCTCTTGCTCGATCTGCTGAAGCCTAATCCGGCCTGTTTCTAACTGCTGAACATAAGCCTGCAAAATAAGTGCAACTGTTTTTGTGAGAATGTGTTTTTTTTTCATCCAGTGATTTTTTCACTGATCGTAACTGTTTTGCACCTTTTTTCTCAGCCTGCTCTTCCTCGCAGCTTCTCTGTTCTGCGCCAATCGCCTTTCAGTCTAAGAAATAATAGATGTGCAAGTAAGAAGAGTATGGCACAATAATGAAATGCAGGGCCATGCAAGCAACAAACTGAAACCAAATGAATCTCACCTTGGGATCTACCAACTTGCCATCTTTTCTTGTGGATCCATGCTTTCTCTGCATCAGAGTGGTAGACTTGGAAGTTAGAACAGTGTGCAATGCTAGGTAGTTAACTAGTTATACAGTAAGATACCTGGAGCTAAAATTCCTGTAGGGTGTTGCTTCCCACCTATAATATAACCTATTCACTAGGAGCTTTTTTACCTGCACGTCTCTCTCTTAAAACAGTAGCAGTGTCTATAATAGTTCATCTTTGTGAACTATTGAAAGAGAATGTGCTACTACTATTGTGGTTGTTTTATGTTCCAAGGAACAGTTCAGGTGGTTATCATGTTGCTTCTATCCATCAAAAGGAGGGACATAAGATCACTATGATGTCGCCAATCATCTTTTTGGCGACTTATTTTTTTTGTCTTGGACCAGCCTTGACCATATGATATTGCCTACTCTCCAGCGCTTCTAGAAATATGCCATTTCCCAGTGCCCACCCAACGACCACCATGAACTCGGTTTTTCTATTCAAAGGCATATCTAGAACTGAAAGGATGCTCAAGCTCAAAGCACAGACTGAAGTTTATGCTTCTGAAAGCAAACCGCTTGAGGATGCATTGAAACGCTTAACGAAGAACTTGTCCAAAAACGTAAACAACCATGATGAAGACGACAAAGTATTGCATATATCAACGTTGACACTGTTACGTACCTTATCTTGGGCTCCTGCATGTTGCTGTAAGCTTGGTGCAGTGGCTGGTGCAGCCCCAAGTCCTTGACTGTAGTTGTAATCATCAATGGTCACCATCAACGCCTCCTGCTGGTTCTGCTGCTGCTGCCCAGAGTCGGTCCTCATGCTCACTGGGGACACCAACTCGGCCTGTGACATTGTGTTCTGCGCGGAGCTGGAGTCAGTGCTCCCTACTGACTGCGAGTTCCCCTGTGAAGCAATTAATCCAAGAAACAAGAGGAGGCCGGCAGGCAGACGAAGACAGTGAGCTAGCATGCAAGCAGTTAATTAACCAAGAGCAACTTTCCCCCCCGCTGCTGCGGTCAGAAAGGAACTGTAGGAGCCTGCGAATGATCTAGAGAAGCAGTGCTTACACTGTATGGCTGCTGTAGATGACTCATTGGCCAAGAAGGGAAGATCTCCAGCGTGGGGGGCCTAGCCGCGAGATATCCTGCCGCTGCTGCTACTGCCGCTGCTGCATACATACAAACGGAATTAAAGGCCTTGTCAATCGCCCTCTCCCACAAGAGGTTGCGAAAATGTAGGCAAAGAGAGGAGAGAGAGAGGCGAGGCGTGGGGGGTCGCGGGATCACACCATTTTTGCTGTTGCCGCACCTTGCCCAAATTACATGTGGTTAGGGCTCATGGCTGTGTTTGGCAAGGCAAAAGCCAGGGCGTGGTGTGCCTATCTATCTATGCCGTGTGCTGTGGGAAGGGAGAGGGGGGCAAGCCTTTCTCGCATGCAGGCGGTTAAGGTTCAGAGAAAGGGGGAGAAGAGATCGATCGGAAAGGCAGTTATAGTCTCTTACACTTGGTGTGGGCATCACTTTCGATCATGACAGGATCGATACCGGCAGCGCAGGTGCCATGGATAAGGGCCTCCTCCAACTCGCCAAAGTAAGCAGCGGCTGCCGGTTGCAACTCCCTCCTGGATCACAAAGCAGCAGGCGCACAGAATTTAGAGCCAGTGATACGGTGGTATATAGATAGGCATATGCAATATATGACAGAGCAGATAAAAACTAGTGAAGCTTTTTCAAGAATGTAAAGGCAACATGAAAGATTAGAGAGGTGGATAGATAAGGATGAGAGCCAAAAAAGAGGGAGGGTAAGAGGAAATCACTCACAGGATCCAGGCCTTAGGCATTAAGAAACTATTTGGTTCGTGGGAAGAGGTGTAACCCAATAAGCACAAGAGTTGGATATATATAGCAGCAGAGTTGGTT